GGAGACCTTTTGAATTAAATGTGGAAGTAATGGCATAATAGATGCATTCCTTCACCTGCTTATTACATAGATAGACCAGACATCCACAAATAATTCAACAGACCACAAGAATGACTACATTTTTAATATAGAAAATCACATAAAAATTCTAACATCCTGGCTGCAACTCTGTTAATCAAAGATCTGCTTTACTAAAAAGTATAGCCATAAGTTACCTGCAGCAGTTTCTCTCTCTAAAGTTTCCAGGTGGCACGTAATTTCATGAAGAGACCTGCACACAGCTTTGAGAACACAAAATTTTCTTAGAGTATCTTTAGACTTGTCTTGGTAACAGAAGATCAAGCAGTCAGATGCACTAAACCTTGTGTAGTCACTTTTTCACTTGCCTTTTCCAGAGGTGTGGTTTTGTGGTGGTGTTTTTTGTTGGGTTTTTTGTTTGTTTTTGTTTTTGGGGTTTTTCTGTGAAAAGCAACAAGGTTGCTCCCCCCCCTCCTTCCCTTCCTCTCCTGAGAAGTGAACACCTTTTCTTCATGCATAGGTTATTCTTGCAAACCCTGCTTTCAGAAATTCAGTTACTTTTGAACGAGGAGAGGGAATGGGCATTACACTTCAGAAACTGTTGAGGAAGGAATGTTCATGTGGCTCACCATTTCAAAAAAATTTTATGTTTCATTGGGTGCTTGGAAAAGTGATGAAAAAAGAACACAGCGAAGATAACTTTAACTAAATTGGGGAAGACTTTCAGAAGCAGACATTTGAACCATGATTTCTGACCCTTTTTTGCTTGAGAATGTTAAATAATTTTTAAAAAGTTTCAAAGTCACAAGTGTATTTTAGCAGTATATAATTGACTGCTCTGATTTTCATTCTGATTTACTTGCCTCCAAGTGCATTCATAGTCTCAGTAGTACATAGAAAACGCAAAACACATTGTAAAGAGGGGTTTTTTGGCTGTGATTTTGTACATCTGTACTCTCATTGATACAGACTAAAACCGCCTGTAGGCTATGTCTAGAGCCATATGGTTGTTAGTAAGCCATCTACATACATAAGCTTTATGAAAAGTTAATTGATGTTTCTTCTAATTCATTCTTAAGTAATGGAATCGTCATTTTGAGTGCATTTTTGGCTTGGGGCTTCAAGGTATCTCAAACTGATTTCATTTCATCTGAACAAAGAAGAAAGCACTGTTTTTTACCACTGTTGACACTTCTGTGTACAACTGCAATGAAATCAATAATGTACCAACTAATTCCTTCCCTCACCTTTTCCATATCTGTCACCAATAAGTCTGAAGTAGTAGACTTCAGAAAAATTCCCGTAACGCTGCACAACCAAACCAATAAAAAGAAAAAAAAAAAATCCCTTTAGCTATAGATTCCTGTTTATACTACTGGAACCCAGATAACTTGTAAGACACTTTGTTTTCATACATCTTAGTGATATTTTTTCACCCACATACATATACTAGAAGCTGCATAGCCTTTTTATTTATTTTTAAGGGATAGCAGAACTTTAAAGGTAACTTAAGCTTAGCCTGTTCTGAAGGATGTTAGAAGCTTTCTGAACTTGCACAGTCTCTCGCAAGCTAATTGTATGGTATGCTTTTCAGATAAGAAGTTTTGTCTTCAAATACAAATACCTGTGAAGTTTTGGGAAAGCCAGTCAAACATGAACATACCAAACTGTGCTCTTATTGCTACATCAAGTGTTCCTTTTTTAAAATCAAAAAGCATGTTTTAATTTCATTTTATTGTAGCAGCTTGCTGTAAGAATGTAGTTTGCTTAATTTTATTATTGTACTTGAATTTTTAATCACGGTTTTAACAATGTAACTGAACAGACCATTTCAGTAGGTTCCAAAGAAACCATTCCTTTCAGAAGGCAAGGGATTCCCATGTTCATAGTTCATAAATGATTTCCCCTCCCCCTTGGAAATAGGTTTTTTGGTTGGGTTTCTCCCCCCCCTCCCCCCGCCCCCTTTAAATATTTCTGTATTATGGAAACAATTAATGGTTTCAAGAGGGCTTATGTTAAAATTTGCACAGATAATGGAGCACCTTTTTATGATGGAAAAAATGGGGAAAGACGACTTCATAATTATAACCATGATGGCAGATGGAAACTTGTAGAGCAACTGGGCAAAATTGGGAGTCTTGTGCCTTTTCAGTTTGCAGAATACCTGTTTTGCCAGTATGACAGTACTTCTTTTTGATTCCTGAGAGAGTAAATTTCCTGCAGTGCTTCAATGAGAAAAGCAACTTTTTTGCTCTAATTCTGTTGGGTTCTAGTGTGTGCAATCATTTTAAAACATCTAAGTTGAAAACAATTGAAATAGTTTTTTCTGTTAAGGAGAGAATAGAGAATTTAGTCACATAAGGAACTTTATATTGGACTATTTAAATAAAATATGTTTTTATTCCCCCTCAGTTGCTGGTTAGCGACAAGATTTCTTTGAGGCTTCATACTCCTTGTTCCTGCATTGTACTCACAAGTTGCATTTGAACATCATTCAGTTTCCTAAACACTATTTAAAGTGATAATTGTGGTCCAAGTTTATTTCCAAGAATATGATACGTGATTCTGAAGCACAGTTTCTAGAAAAGAGCAAAGAACATGTTGTGACATGTAACAGGTTCTTTTTGATAAATGTTTTTTCTATTTCTGCTGCACAATTAGGAGTGTTAAAGTAAAATTCATTGAGTCTGTGAAAATAATTCCACCGCTTGACAGTTAGCAGTAATTATGTCGCCACATAACACTACCAGAGTAAAATTTCTTAATTCCAGTGAAGGAGTTAGAGACCTTGTTAACTAAAGTTCATTTTGATTCAATCTCTTCAATTTGTAAAAGCTCCTAAAACCAATAAAGCCCCCCAAAATTTCCCCCAAAGCAAAACTTTCCTAATAGAATGCAATAAGATGTCCAGGAAGTGAACAGTGGTTTTAGGTTAACGCACACTGGATTGATACTGGGCTGCCTTACACAGCATCGTGGGGTTTACTGTGTGCCACCCCACCCCACCCACGCACCCCCAACTGAAATTAGAGTTCTTCTCAGAATTTGGGATTAGTGACTATACAGGATGAAGAAACTTGCGTATTGTTGCGTATTGGTGTCTGGCATTTAAAGTCTCATTTTCCCATTGCTGTGATTGGTTGGGAAATGTGTGAAAACCAGTCCTTTGGTTTCCCTGTTGCCTACTTTTTTCAGGCAGTTCATGCAGTGTGTCTTCTAATTATTATTTGGTGGATTAGACATTGTGGAACAAAAGGAGCTTTTTTTAACAGGAAGAACTACCTTGGGTTAGCTATATGTACAGTCATCCAATGAGACATGTTCCAGAGTGCATAGGGTACCAATAGATTATGGAGTGGGGGAATATCCTTTTTTGCTGTTCTGAGCTACTATTGTCAACTGCTGTTGTACATATACTGTTATGTGTAAGGGGGTAAATATATTTATTATGTTTGTAAAATTCATTCTGTACAATTGCAGATCAAGGTTGCTCCTCTGTGATATACAGGATATTATGTTTCAAAGGCCATGCTTGGAATACGATTAGAGAACTTAGTATTTTGATGTACTAAGACCTATTTTAAGTTTAATATTTTGCCTTTGCAAAAACTTTAATTAAAGATGTTATTTAAAAATGTTTGCCACTTCATTTACTATCTTGCATGTGCATGTTTAATATATGAGGCTTAAAGACTATTACATAATAACACTGAAGATTATGAATTTGTTTTCATCATACTCAGGTAACATCACTGTCACCTACTTGTTCAGTTTGCCTTGCAGGCTTCCCATTTAACATCATCACAATGTTATAAAAAAAAAAATTCACATTTTAATCTTGAGTCCAGACTTCCATGTTTATTTAAGAATTTTCTCTCTATGGTAACTTGAGACTTGGGTTTTGAGACAAGACTGGTTGAATAACTTGGTGTGCCATCTGGATGTTAGTCCTGTAAATGGAAATGCAAGACAATATCGAGAAGTAAAATACAGAGTTCTTGGATGATAGCTGGCTGATCGTAAAGGTTTCATCTTCATCAGTGAAACGGATTTGACAGAATTGCGTTAAGCAGGTGACATCTTTTTAGTTCCCGGCTAAAAGCAGCATCCTGAGGCATGACTTGTGCTTTATTTTTAAATGTAAATTTTGAACTTCTTCTAAATATAATTAGAAAGAATGTAAGCTATAGGCTATACTGCCTGTATGGGGGATTGTATTTTGGAATGCGGTGATTTTTGAAGTAATCTTTCGGCTATAGTGGTGTAAAGGTATAGCAAACCAAGAATCGTAAGGAGTGGTGGTATTTTTCTTCTAATACTCAAGGTGGGGGGTACCCTAATACTTCTCTTGCCCTCCAGCCCTCAACACTTGGGCTAGTCTAAAAAAAAACAGTACTGCTTTTCCCATAATGTTTGTCATCTTTGCCTTACTTGTCATCTTGAAAAGGATCTGGAGATGATTCTGGATGAATAACTATCAGAAATTATGATGTTTTACAAAAAAAGGTCATTGCAGTCTGAGCTTGCGTACTCCGTAAGAAAAAAACAGCTTGGAAAAATGGCCGGTTGTTCTGGCCAAAATATTTTCAAAAGGACCCTAAAAAGAGGAGGGAAAGCAGAATGCTGACAAATTGGTACCAAACTCAAGTTAAAACACAAAAAAAGCTGGATTTCATCCCTGTAAGGAAAGATGAGAACATTATAATTGTGAATGTTAATTATGCTTTCCCAGCTGTGCATGAGCAAAGTATTTCAAGGATTTTGGGCAAAACCAAGTATATTTTAAAACACCTGATTTTTTTCCCTATCAGTTCGATTTCTTTATGGCTTTATTATTTTAATTGCAGAGGTATGAGAGGATAAGAATCTTCAAATACTAGCATAGCTTTCAGTATATCCCCATTTAGTTTCAACTACATATCAT